ACTCAGGGGGAGGGGGAGGGGAAGCTGTTGGTTATGTATATCCAGCAGCAGCGCAGTAGGAGAGAGAGAGAAAGCTAAGAAAGACGAGAGCACGAGCAAGAGAAGACAGAGGCAAAGAGGGTTGGAGAGAGCAAGAGAGAGCAGGCCTATCAAGCACACATGTGGCCCAGCAGCGCGAAAACAGCACGGAAGAGCAGGAGAAGGCCAGCAAGTCACTAAGCTAGGGTCGACTAGTCAGCGTAAGTTGGGTCTTAAGTAAGAGATGGAGATAGCTAAGACTCAGACGCGGCAGAGCCAGAGACAGCAGACTTTCAGACTGATATCAACATTAACACTAAGAATAACACTGCGAGAGAGAGTGTCAGCGTCAGGGATGAATAACACTTTTGCTGGCTGGCGAAAGCTCCTTGTTTACCCGGCGGGGCTGCTGAGTCAGCGCTGAGTCAGACAGGGGAAGGGGCCAGCCATTGACCAGTCAGAGCGCGTCTTTCTGCCCATGGAGCGTCCACTGGCGGAGAAGAGGGCGGGCGGGTTCCTTGCTTAGTCATGCAGCGCACCTTCGCCCTCCACCCAAAAGCCAAAAGGCGGTAAGTGGACAAGTCGCAGCTCGCGCCCTTGACAGGTGGACTGGACGGGGGAAAGGGAGCCTGACACTGGCCTCAGACCTCAGACTGCGGGCTGTCACAGCTTGGGGCATCTCCTCGGCTTCCACCTTGCTCTCACAGGCATCTCTCTCCCTTTTGTCTCGTCTCTCCCTTTTCTCTCCTTTATCTGTCCTTTTACTCTCTTTTAATGCACTCTTTAATGCACTCTTTTACTCGTGTTTTTTGTCCCAACAAGTCGCGCAACCCCGCTCAACGGTTCTAGGTTCTAATTACAGAAGTGGTCAAAGCGCGGCCTGGGCGCCCGCGGGAAGCACTCGGTGGAAAGATAGTCCGCTCCGAGGAGTTGGATGATGACTAAGCAGCGGGCACTCAGATGGGAGCCCGACAGGAAGAGCATTCCAGCAGGTGCTTCTTCGTATACGAGCAGAGGCCGATAATACTTAGATGGTTGGTTGACGAGGGTTATTCAAGCATATATAAAGGGAGGGCAATAGTACTGGGAGATATACCGACCATAGACTCAGAGATAGAGATACTATACTTTACCTCCTACGTGATACAATGGCATCAGCCCACGAGATCCTCCCCTGCACCCCAGCAGACACGCTCGAGATGGCCCGCCTCGAACGCGCAGCTTACGGCCCCGAACCACTCACGCTTCTCATGTTCGGCGAGCCTGCGCCGTCCGCCATCAACGCGCGAGCAGATAAGTTCGCCCAGATGATGGACCACCCTTCCTCGCGCTGGTGGAAAGTCATGGCAGACGATGGCAAGATAGCCGGCATTGCGCTGTGGAATTTCAGGACAGACGAGAACTGGATCGAGCAGCTTGACGGACCCGAAAAGCCGGACGAGTACGTCGAGACGGGCGAGGAAGGGCTGCCGGAGTCAGGGTATGCGGCTCGCAGGGCATTCTTCAATTGGCTTTATGGTGTCCGGAAGAGGAGGATGGGCGGGAAACCACATGTTTGTACGCTTCGAAGACCCCCCTGCTCGAAAGAGGCCCAGGAGGTCCCTGGGTTGAAATATGTATGACGTTTTTTGTGCTAAATAATAGTTAACTGATTATGTGGTGATTGGGTAACTAGTGCTGAATCTTCTTGCGGTACATCCGGATTGTCAGCGGCGAGGCATCGGCGGGGCGCTCGTGAAGCATGGCCTTGAAGAGGCGAGGAAGTTGGGCATGCCGACCTGGTTGGAGGCGTCGCCGGAAGGGTTTCCGCTTTACAAGGCACATGGATTTGAGATCGTGGAGCCCGTAGCCTGGACGCTGGCGGAGTATGGAGGAAAGGAAGAGGATGGCAAGGTCGAGTCGTGGGGGATGATCAAGGAAGCTGCTTGATCTTATCTTATCGTCACCATTTCACTATCGTCACGTGGTGATAAGATTGTACATACACGGACATGGAACATGGACATATATAGACAAGTTGTGTTGATATAGGAGGAAGAAGAAGAAGCAAATCTACTTCGCAAACTCCGCGCCGTATTCGTCTACAATCCACTGGCAAAAGGCTTCCCACTCTTGTCGCCACAGTTTCATCCTCTCTGCCTTGACGCCACCACCCTCATACCCCGTATCGATACCCCCCACCCACTCCTCGTCATCCTCATCTTCAAAAGCAGCATACCGCACACTATTCTCTGCCAGAGAGCCCAGTCCCGCCAGTCCCAGGTTCTCCCAGGCCTGCACCGCCTGCCAGAAATCATGAGACATACCTGACGTCCCCTGTCCCAACAGCGCAGGGTCATCGTTGCTCAGCGATGCAGATACCCCGCGCGCCAACAGCGCTGGCAAGGGATGTGCTAGGACAGTGGCAGTCAACCGCAGCACTTCGTTGGAGATAGGACAGCTCTCAACCATGATGCGGCGCTGCTTGACAATGTCGATTAGGTGCGGGTGTTTAAAGAGCGAGAACGCATGGCCAATTCGTCGGGTGTTGAGCAGGATGGCGTCGTAGAGGTTGCGGTCAGTGCTGTCACCGTCTCCCAGGCACTCACCGGCATGGAAGAAAAAGGGTATATTTAAGTTCTGAGATATGCACTGTTGTCGGAACCACAGGATCTGAGGCATTAAGGCCGCGAGCGTTTGGCCCAGGTCTTCTTGGCCGACCAGGTCGAAGCCAGCTACCAGATGAGGGTGTGCCTTTTTCGCTTCTAGACAGTCCTTCATGCCTGGATCCCGTTTGTTAGCTAGAGCTTCACATCCTACCTTTCTCCACATCGATCAACTTACTAGCAACTATAGAATCGGCATCTAAAAATCGTAGAGCAGTCCAGATGAGCCGCCCACCCCAGAAGTTCTTGCCTTCCTCCGTCTTTTTAAACGCTTCAATCTCCTCCCCCATCACGGCAACACGGTAATTGAACCCTGTATCCGGCACATCCTGCCCCTCCCTGGCAAACGGCGAGCCAAATACATCACGTATCTCTACCCAGCGCACCCCGTCCGCCGCCAGATTCTGTAGCATCTTCCGAAGAAATAGCCGGTAGACAGGCTCATACCCCAATAGCGAGCCCAGCGTGGGAAACGCAGCGGCCATCTTCCGCCATACCTCGTCCACACCCAGATGGTGCTCGATAGACGATCGTTCGCTTATTACACTTCGGTCGTAAAGCCAGTTCACGAATCCCTGCCGACCAGTTGACGGGAATGCATCCGCTGCTTCGGCGGCAGGTACGTATGTATCTGGCTGGTATGCAGACGACCAGATAGATACATGGCTCGACCCTGGCTTGGGAGTGACATATTTGAACAGCACGACTGCCCTGGCCCTCGCAGCCTCTGTATCCAATGCCTCAGAGGAACATACATGCATGCCCTCGACGGCAAGAATCCGTTCAAACAGCCAGTCTACCTCTACCATGGCGCCCAAATGACAATGCAACAACGCCCCCTTGGGCATCCGCTTGGCTATTCTCCACAGATGCGTGGATTCAAGCTTCCGCTTGGCTAGCCCGAACATCATGCCCGGGTACAGTTCGATGCCTTCTTCATTATCTGGATTGGACGGATCATGTTTCCAGATCGATGCGTGCTCTGCTTCTCGGATATGAGAGACGATGGCACATGCTTGGCTGGCGACGGGTGACAGAGCATTGCGGAAGGCAGTATCTGTATGGATATATTGTTTTTATCAGTCTTTGCTGCTTTGCTTCATGGGTATATTTATGCCCTGTGGCGCGTGAGCGGGGAGATTATCGGGCCATGGGGGCATAGTTATCTAGTTACCGCTGCGGAGGGAGAGTTCCTTGGATATCAGGGCGTCTCGGGCGGCGAAGTGAGATGCCAGCGCGGCGGCTTCAGGTCCTTTGTCTTCCATGGTGATAGTCAATGCGTATATAATGCGGTGTCAGTGTTGTTCGGCCTCCTCCGGACGTGAGGCTGCAACTTGTAGTTGTGACTACCACCTCGTATCCGCGCGGATGTCTGTGGGTCGTTGTGGAAATAGCCGCGACGCGGATCATCTTAGCTTCCAAATTTTATATAAAAGGAGCGAAACACAACAAGTTTGATCTTTGAAAGATGCAAGTGGAAGAACGACACACATCTACGGCCCAAGACGATGTCCGGTAAAGGATCCTCTGCCGGCAGTAGGATCAAGGCAGGGTCGTCATCACTTATGCCATCTTCTTCAAAGCCAGAATTTCCTTTCAAACAGATATTGGAAGACCTCTTTCGGGATGGAAGCTACTCAGACATGGAAATAGTCTGCAATGGCTTCACTTTCAAGGCCCACCGCGCAGTTGTATGCACGCAGTCTGAATTTTTCAGCGCAGCTTTCAAGAGTGACTTCAAGGTTAGTCGATTGCCAACGATATCCCAAGCTCTCAGGATCAAGATCGGCGCTGAAGCAATGACAAGGAAGCCAAGTCGAGAACAGTCGAGCTGCCTGACGATGACTTCGAGACTATCGAACGGGTTTTGTCATTTTTATACCTACAAGAGTACGATGAAAACGGTCACTTAATGGCCTTGGACTCCAAAGCAATTGTGCCGTCTTCCTCGACCGATGGCTCAAGTGCAAAGGACGAAAAGCGGACGAGAACGACTGATGCTGGCTTAAATAACGTCCGGGTTTACGTAGCCGCCGACAAATTCGGGATCCCTCTCCTGCAAAGCCTTGCAGCAGAGAAGTTCACCCGCTGGGCCAACAGCAATTGGGATTCCACGGAGTTTCTGCGAGACATTGAAGAGATAATGACAATCACACCTCCCCATGATCGCACCCTGCGAGACATCCTTGCAGACGTTATATCGAAGAATTTGCAATTGTTTGCCGCTAATAAGGACTTCCTTGCTCTAATAGAGAACTTTGGCGGTCTTGGATCAGCAATTTTGTTCAAGCTTGTGGACTCAGACCTCGTGAAAGCGCCTGAACCTCAGAAGCTCTTTTCTCCAACGTCAACATCCTTTGGCAAGACGAATGTGAGGGCCTGTAAAGGGTGTATCAGTCCGCTCACGGGCTTCAATATAGAGTACCACAACGGGAAACTTCGTTGTGGTACATGCGGTACACGGAATTGATGTGAAGACAATCCATTCGTCTAGCGAGTGGCTTATCGTGATAGGATCCGGGTCTGGCATATTTCTTCCAAAGAGCTTTTTGTATTTTCTTGCCAAGATGTATGACATAGTTACACCCTTGTTGCTGTCAAGGCACCTGCCAGCCGAAGAGCCTCAACTCTACAAATAGAACTGCTGGGCCTGGTCATTATTGGTTGTCATCTAGGGCGACCGTCCAGACCATGATTAACCCCCGAGCCACGGACGATTACTATCGATTACAGCCGCTCCAAGTCAAAGAGGAAAATCTTCCAATACAAGAAACAACGATGCTAATGTTGTTGGCTGCTATATACCCGAAGAAGTCGGTCGGAGGTCTTGAGTGTACATAAGATGGCAAGCATGTCATTGATTCTGACCGTATGATCACGAGATGGAGGTTGATGAACCAGATATATTGACCGATAATTTAGGTAAGCTCTATATATAGGAGAACGGTTCACCCTGCCACATATGCGATATTTACCAATCTGGCTGAGCCCCATCATACTTGTCAGGACCGGCATGGTTCTCCCAGCCAGGGACCAAGACATTGAGGAACTTTCCGTTGTCTGCCTTGTTGACAGTAGACACAATTTTCAACACGGCAGGGGAGCTTTGGCTTACGGTCAAATCAGCCTGTTCACCGCCCAAGTCGGTCTTCACCCACTATTATACCTATTAGAGTATGATGCACGAAAGGTTGTTCTGGGTTACTTACACCAGGGGAAATTGCAACGACAGTAAAACCTTCATCCTCGAGGGCTAGTGCGTATTGCACTGTGAGCATGTTAAGGGCCGCCTTGGAGATTTTATATGACGGAGCAGGCGCAGCCTTGAATTTTGCTGCCATCCCAATGGATCCCATGGTCGTGGACCTATACGACATCAGCACTCTTTTCAGAGATTGATGTCTTGCAGATATACTCACATGGTGAAGATTTTCTTCATGGTACCATTCCTCAAAAGTGGGAGGAATGCGCTTGTAACAAGGTGGACGCTGGTCACATTGGTATTGAATGTTGCGTTCAGATCGGTCCTGTACCTGTCCATCAGCTACAAACCAGAAGAATTGAATATTCCAAACAACTTACTTGGCCTCAATACCATCAGGGATGAAATTCAATACACCGGCATTGTTGATAAGAATGTCCAGCCCTTTCCCTCCAAGCGACTTCTCAACTTGGATCGCTGCAGCCTTTACTTTCTCAGGAGACGTGACGTCTATAGAGACGAACTCAATGCGGCCAGCGGACTTCTCAATCAATTCCTTCAAAGCAGGAGTCTCCGTACGTGCGGCCGCGAAGATAATAGATACCTCGGAGACAGGCTTAGCAACCAAATCTTTGACTAGAGTAAGGCCAATGCCGCGCGAGGTGCCGGTGATAAGGTAGGAAGCCATGGTGTATTGTAAGAAGACAAGCCTGCTAGGCGAAGTAACTTGAGAAACGCTGGATGGATGATTTGAAGGGTATTCACTTGTGTTTCTTATTGATTTTCTCATGAACACCAAGGGGATTCCCTGGCTTTATATATCCGTGGCCATCGTGAAGGTGAAGCAAGATCTAGAGGCTACTTCTTCAGGGATACCAAAGAATCCTTCGACCTGCTTTGAAATCAACAACCCCGGTGAGGTTCATGCAATGGATATCGCTCTGTTTTTGGACCAGTTTGTAATATAGAGTCACAGAATTCATAGTGATCCTCGTCGTTGACACGGCAGAAGATGCAGGCTCGTCTCATTTGGTGATACTTGGAGTAGATGTTTGTATCCACTTCCACCGCGAAAGATGCCCAGAAGTAACCAATTATGCAGGATGCGGCTAAAATAAGAGTGCCCTGCTGCAATATAAGCATTGCAGGGCAGTCATTCTCTCTGCTCAATGGACATTTTGGTCACCATTTGAATACGACTTGTATACGAAACACTTTTCGCAATGCATTGATGTCTGGCACCCGAATGGCCACATCAGTGACCATCGCTCCACAACTCGTATTTATGCTGAAAAGACATTACTGCATGGTTCCCGAATAATTCCACTGCATATAGACGAAGGACTCGTCAGGAGTAAACTATAGTGTTTGTAGTTAACAAGGCTCTCTTCTGTGTATAGCCAAACAAGATGCTATATCTGCTTCCCTGTTTGTTGCTAGTAAGCTCCGGGGCAAAGTGTATAACAGCCTCTAGTATAAGTGGCAAGAGTACGGTCGACTGCTATGCCGATGTACCCAGCCTAACTAAACATAAAGAAATAGACTAGAAAGGTACAGCGAGCTATGAGAGTTCACTTTACGTACCGTGAGCTAGAGCCAGAGAGCCTAGAGCTTGTAGCATCACTGGCAGCAATTGCTCGCCACGAATCCACCTCACACGGCCATGTCCCAGCTAGAGCGAGCTGGCCATGGATGCTGGACGAGATTTACTGGTATTCGCATATCTCCAAATAGATGTTCAATTGGCCATTCCTTGATCAACCATAAGACATATGATATCATATATATTGATCCTGTTTCTACATCGTGGCGAATATGGGGCACGAGTTAGTATATAAGAAGGATATAGATACGATCTCTGAATGTTCCTCTACCAGGAACTACACCAGAAAGTCATCAATTCAACAAAGAAGCAGAAACAAGCAAACAAAGTACAACCATCATGTCTGGAATCGGAGACAACTGGACCACTTCCCAGCGCCGTTCTCAGCGCACCACTCGCAGCGCTGCCCAGGGAGGTCAAGACTTCACCGAAGAAATCAACGAAGACATCATGGCCACCGACCCCAACTCCCAGGCCCAGAGATGGGAGTCCAAGAAGTACACCCAGCGTACTCACTTCGACGATCAGACTGAGGCTGGGGGCATGGGTGCCGCCGGCTCCCGTAACTTGCAGGGTGGTCAAGGGATGAAAGGCGTCGAGGACACCTCTCGTTCTGGAGGAGGAACGAGTGGCATGCAGGAGGAGGGAACTACTGGAGCCTACCCGGGGGCTTCGTCCCAGCGCCAACAGACCTCCAGGGCCACTGATGATCCCGGTGAGGGCATGGCAGAAATGAGTGGCAAGAGTCATGGATATGATGACCAAAGCTACATGACGCAGGACTATGGAAGGCAGGGATATGGAAGCCATACTGGCCGTGCAGAGCCCCCCGAGAATCAAGAGACCGGTGAGTTTATTCTGTTGACACTGTTTGTGAGAGCCATTGCTGATGGTGTATTTTTAGGTGGTGTGCTCGGCACTCTTGGAGACAAAGTGAAGGGAGCTATGGGTGATGTTAGCAAGAAGGCTTCAAAGTTCAACGAGTAATTAGTTGCCATTGGATTAGCAAGGTTGCTTTGGAATGGTGTTGGTACCCAAAACAGCCAAAATGGACACACCTAATTGTGATAGGAATGTAGGTATAATGAGAAACACCAAAGTAGTTTAGGGTAATCATGATAACTGTTGAATGAAATGCAACAAGGTTGCTTGATTGTATGTCGAGCAAGGTCTTTTAAACATATGGTATTGCGCTATTCTGTAAAGCCTTGTAATAAGCATGTTCTAGGGTAATATATATATTGATACACAGATCACTCATGAGACCATTCAGGCTTCTTCTTCTCAGCGAAAGCAGTCATACCTATTCATCTCAAGTCAGCGTCTAGTTCATATTGTAAACAAGTAATAGACCTACCAATCTTCTGGTCCTTGCTTCCAAAGAGACCGTGGAACAGTCTTCTCTCGAACTCGACACCTTCCTTCAGCGAAAGCTCCTGGCTCTTGTTAACAACCTCCTTGGCAGCAACAACAGCAACACGGCTGTAGCTAGCGATTTTGCTAGCAGTCTCAAGGGTAGCCTCCATAAGCTCGTCCTTGCCACCCTCAACAACCTTGGCGGCTACTCCCCACTGCCCAGCTTCCTTTCCGCTGAAGGTATTTCCAGTGAGGATAAGCTCCATGGCCTTGCTCTTACCGACGAGCTTGGTCAGACGCTGAGAACCACCGGCTCCGGGGATAGTGCCGAGCTTGATCTCTGGCTGTCCGAAGGTGGCCTTGTCCGTACAGTAGATCATATCACACATCATCGCGAGCTCGCAGCCGCCTCCGAGAGCATATCCGGAGACCGCAGCAATGACGGGAGTTCGGATTGTGTTGGCAAGATGCGACCAAGGAGCAATGAAGTTGTCGTTGTAGGCGGCAGCGAAGGTGAGAGGGGTCATTTCCTTGATATCGGCACCGGCTAGTAATAAGTTAGAAGGATATACTCCTACATAAGTCATTGCCCATCCCTAATGCGTACCTGCAAATGCCTTCTCGCTGCCGGTGATGATTATAGCACCAGTGCTCTTATCTTCGTCATACTTGGTGAGGGCCTCGTTGAGCTCCTTGAAGAGAGGGCTACACAAGGCATTGAGAGCCTTTGGTCGGTTAAGAGTAACTAGAAACAGTCAGTATCATCCTCACAAGCTTTACAGTAAGGATAGTCAGCCATACTTAATCCAACACCGGGCTTAGGAGTAGACGTGAGGATGTACTCGTAGGCTGGGGATCCGGTCGAGTAGAAGCGGGAGATGTAGGACTGCAATGGCCGGGCAGTCTGCGAGGCCACGAGTCTTGAGCAGCGTCTGGCAAACATGATGTGAGATTGTATATTTAGCCAATTGATACCTAGAGATTGAACAACACCTCTATCGTCGACGTCCGTCGGCCTGTAGGTCCGAAATCAACGATGATGATGATGATGTTTTGTCCCTGCCCGCGCCAAAACTAGCGCCGAGGCAGAAGGAAAAGCCGCGGCAAGCCGCCCCGAAGTTTTGGTCACATGACTACACGTGACATCTTGTATTGGCTTATATAATCTATTCCCTATTAAGACTAGCGCATGTGTCAGCCTCGGTATCACGTTGGGCCGTGCACTGTGGCTGGTGTATGCCAAGAAAATTTGCTCCAAAAAGTTATTCAGGATTTAATATTAATTCCATCAAACACCGTCGTCGTCACTCGAGCCGTCACCTTTCCCAGTGTCTTCCCATCGCAAGCCCCAGACGCAGATAGGACACCTTTCAACACACACCAAGCGCTGCCTATCTCCTGCCTATAATCCCACACTTTCACCGTCACTATGGACCGCCCAGAGCCAGAGAACAGCCCCTTTACAGCGGTTTCCGCGCAAACCTCAAAGTTGAGAAGAGTAAGTGATGCGACCTTGCGGACTCTTTAGTTGCCATGTCCACACTTGCGCTGTTCCTGGGACTAAACGAAGGTGTAATGACTATAGCAATATCAAGCGTATCTCGATGCGTCAACCCCATATACCATGTACCGGTGGATAGGCACCGGCGTCATGCTCCTCCTTTTCTTCCTTAGGATAGTGCTGGCGCAAGGCTGGTATATCGGTATGTTATTGCTTGACGTATCCTAGCCATGAAATCAAACCTAGCTGACCTTTGCGACAGTGGCATATACTCTAGGAATCTACCTACTCAACCTCTTCCTCGCATTCCTCCAGCCGAAATTCGACCCATCTCTTACCCAGGATACTGGACTAGAAGAGGGTGACGCTGGTGCGTCTCTTCCTACCAACCAAGACGAAGAGTTCCGCCCCTTTATTCGACGACTTCCGGAGTTCAAGTTCTGGCACTCGGCAACCGTGGCTATCACTCTGGCCTTTTCCTGCACCTGGTCTCAGATATTCAACATCCCAGTCTTCTGGCCAATCTTGGTCGTGTACTGGTTGATCCTGTTCTGCTTGACGAGTACGTATATCCTTTCCGCATATCTAGTTATTTCTCTTCGGTCTATCTAACAGAGGTATGTAGTGCGACGACAAATACAACACATGATCAAATACCGATATGTTCCCTTCACCTTCGGCAAGGCCAAGTACGGCCGCACTTAATACGCCAGTGTCCGACCGATTCTCCTTACATACCGCTTTACTTCCTTTTCCTCCGTTAATGTGAAAACGGGGTTTGGATACATATCGACGATTACGTATTTGCAAAGGGACGCCAACGACAAAAACGAAAAAAAAGTTACTACGATTGAAAAGACTAATTATCCCTTTGAAGAAATTCTTTTGCAACCTCTATTTACTTTCCTCTTCTTCCTCCTTTTCTGCTCTTCTTTGTACAAACGCCTTCCGATACACTGTCTTTGTGTCGTGTTTTCCATATCTCTCCCCCTTTCACCTCTTATCCCCTTTCAACTCCTGAGCCGACAAGTCATTTGGGATACTTACGCGTACCTCCTTGTCTTGTTTGAGTCTCCTTTAATTTGAAAAGGCTTAGGAGGAAAAGGGCGACGCGGCGATTCGTCGTTGATTGGTATGACCAATTGTTAGCAAGGTTTTAATTTTTTTTTCCTGTGGCTTTTCTTTTTTTGGCCTCCTTCACTTACTGTACGTCTCTTGTTTTGGATTACACTCTTTCTTTTTTGCTATGGTTGTTGTGGCTTGGTCGATTGCAAGGCCTGTGTTAACTTCTCTTCCTCTTTCCCCCTGCTATAGAATACTGATAGAGCCATGGTAATCCGTTAATGACAGCGTGTTTTTCCCTAACAGCAGAGTATGAGAATAGTTGACTAGTTTGTTGCAGTACGCCGTGTCTGGCGGCTATTCATCGGGACTAAATTCACAACCCCAATGATTGCAACGAACACCCCACGGGCGGTCGTGGAACCGGAGAATAATACAGCCATGCCTCTCATGGAAATGCAAGTAATACCACTAATCACCCCCACCGGCCGATCGACTCCATCGCAAGGGGCAATGGCGTAGTTGGGAGCGCGTTTGACTGAAGAAAATTTCAGGAACAAGGTATTTCTACCTAGTTGATCAGAAGGTCACCGGTTCGATCCCGGTTTGCCCCATTTGAGACTCCCCAGTCATCAATTCTTTTTTGTTCCTTTCATGTTTTTGCTATATGGCCCTTCACAAGAGAGAATTTGAATGATAAATACCTATAACCCAGAGCCGCACAGGTTTGTGTGTGTGGTCAGGGCTTTTTTTGGCATCGACCGTCATGTGACTCAGCCATGGCCGGGCCTCTCAAGTATCGCAGCAACCAACAAGCCAGCCTCGAATGCCAGAGCATTAAAATACGGTTTATTCTGAAGCTGAGAATATCTCCATACCGCTGCCAGCCGAGAATAGAGTCCGAGAAGAGTGGCCACTCAGTTTGTTGCCGAAGATATACCCAAGGAATGTGCAATCACGCTGGTGACTTGGACCAATGATTCCCTATCACAAACTACATATACACTGTCCGCCAGCATTGTGTATAGATGTAGAACTTGGATGATACCACAGATCCCCGAAGCTAAGCCAAGATTGCTTTGTTTGAAATCACCGAGGGCCAGTCCTTCTACTAAGGGCCTGGTGTCATTCATCTTAAGTATATATAAGGGCACTCTCGACAAGGTCCCATATCCTTTTCCTTACATCGCATGCGTGGACCATTTGATGCAATAAATAGTATTACAAATGCGGGAAGAGGTATATCTCCATGATCGTAGAGAGAAAGCTGCCCGTTCACGAAACCAGCAGTGCATCAGAGAACGAATCGACTGTCTAATTGAACAATAGCGCCATTTGAAGCAGCGATAGAAGCTCACCGGGAATCGCACTCCTTGGAGCTATCATGCCTTTTATCCCTAACGATTATGGATGTATTTTTCCTGGTCTAAATTTTTTGTGTATCCTATCAGAACCTCCGTCATCTCTCCCAATGTTTTAGTAATCTGAGCATAGGCGACAGAGTCGATAGTTGTAGTGTTAGAGGTTGCACCACATACGTGGAAAGTGAAGAAAAGGGTCTATCCACCGTTATCGCATAGTCGAGGTTTATATCTTTAACTGCAGCTGACATGACTAGCTGGACTGTAAATAGTTGTATGAGGTTAGCCAGCGATTTAGTAGCAAGCAGTGATAGGTTTGAATACCTCTTAAGAGCATGACATTTAAAGATCATGAAGGAAAATCTCGATTTACACCGTCTACAATACGCCTTGCAATATCCTGCAAGACAGCCATGCCTGCCAATGTTGAGCCTGGCCGGTGCTTGTTTATTTGTATTATTGTTGTGGCGTGGGTGTTGCAACGTCCTTTTGGAAGGGACCAGCGGCGGGAGACCCAGGCCTAGCCATAATGCAGGAAGTGTCCAGCGTCACCATGCATTGGGGCAATGGCGTAGTTGGGAGCGCGTTTGACTGAAGAAAACTTCAGGAACAAGGTTTCACCTAGTTGATCAGAAGGTCACCGGTTCGATCCCGGTTTGCCCCATTACATTTTTATCTTTTTATTTTTATTTTTAATTTCAATCGGGTGATGAATGATATAACAACGATAGGATAGGCCGAGTTTTCGTAAAAGTAATCTGGGTTTTGCGTTGGAGTAGTCTTGTCGAGAATTACCTTATTGGGTTGTTGGGATTGGTTTCCATATTTTGAGGGGAGCCACGAACAAATCCATGATTATCAGTTTATTAAGACATATAAATATTTTGCTTCGGAGTTTTAGAGATGGGCAATCTGATTCTGGGTCATGGATTTGGTCTCAATCTCGAAATTCAAATGGAACGGCATGCTAGGCTACGGCAACTGGAGTGTACATTTAGAGACGCGGCTGTGGTTTCGAAGAGACCTCCTTTTCAGTGGCTTTCTCTATTCTGGCTCCAAGGTCTTGGTTGACCCTGCGGAACATTTCATAAGTGGCTCTCCTGACCTTCTCGTTAGCTCCCGCCAAATGGCCTGCCACGTTTCCTACAAAATTATCCTGTTGCCCCTTCTCCTTACCCATAACTTCCCACAGCCTGCCTGGCTGCACGAAATCTTCGTCGGTAACGGGTATTTGCTTTGAAAGGACAGCTCCAGCCCACTTCTCGTGCTCTTGGCTGGCACGAACGGGGCGGAACGCCACTTTCCTGAAGCTAGACGGGTAGTTGGGGTTTGCGCCATGGTTGCCGTCAACAGACATGTGGCCATCTCGTTGGTAAGGCGTGTATACCTTCAGCGGGCAGTTCACTGGGATCTGGGTGTAGTTCGTACCTAGACGGTGGCGGTGGGTGTCTGGGTAAGAGAACAGACGGGACTGTAATACTGGATCAGCTGAGGGCTCGACACCCGGCACAAGGTGGGAAGGTGAGAATGCAGCCTGCTCCATCTCGGCAAAGTAGTTCTCTGGGTTTCTGTTCAGAGTAAGTTTGCCAATGCGGCGGAGAGGGACTTCGCCATGTGGCCAGACCTTGGTGAGGTCAAAGATATTCCACCGGAATTTCTCGGCGTCGGCTGGGGAGAGGACCTGAACATAGCATGTCCAAGATGGGTTCTGGCCAGCCTTGATGGCATTGAAGAGATCCTCGGTATGCCAGTCTGGGTTTTCAGCAGACATTCGGACCGCCTCGTCGTTGGTGAAGTTCTTGATACCCTGATCGGTCTTAAGATGAATTTGGACATAGTTGAAGCCGCCGTCGGGTTTAATCCACTTGTACGTGTGGCCAGAGTAGCCGTTCATGTGGCGGTAAGAATAAGGCGTGCCACGGTCCGAAAATAAGTGCATGAGTTGATGGGCGGACTCCTGGTGTGTAGACAGATAGTCCCAGAACATATCTGGATCTTTGAGGTTTGTTTGCGGGTTACGTTTCTGGGTATGTATGAAGATAGGGAACTTGGCAGGGTCACGCAGGAAGAAGATGGGGGTGTTGTTGAAAACCCAGTCTAGATTCCCTTCTGCAGTGTAAAACTTGATAGCGAAGCCGCGAGGGTCTCGTGCACTATCTGCCGAGCCCTTTTCACCGCCGACTGTGGAGAAACGAGTGAGCAGCTTGGTCTTCTTGCCTACTCCTTTGAGCATGTCTATTATGGTCTGGTATTTCAACTCGTTAGTCCTTGTGCTTCTGTCTGGCCTACTAAGCTTCATGTCTTACAATGTCAGAGATGTCATCGGTGACCTCAAATTCACCATAGGCCCCCGCTCCTTTGGCATGAACAACTCGCTCGGGGATACGTTCGCGATCGAAATGTGCGAGCAGGTCTATGAGATGGAAGTCCTGTAAGAGCAAGGGTCCATTCTCGCCAACCCTCTGTGAGGACTCCGGGTCCATGACCTAGGGCCCATTAGTTATATTTCCTCTCCGCTTACAAACAGGATCGAACAGTTACCGGACAGCCATTAGAGGTGGTATAAACCGGAACCTCATGGTAGCGATATGTGCCTAAGGAGCTATATATCAGCTTATGAACTCCGTAGACCGGGTTCAAACGGCTAAACTCACTCGGCTTATCGTCAGCTCCCATGGTTGTTGTCAACGTGCTCTGTTAATATTGCACTTTGGTAGCTATTTGCGTGTGTAACACCACCGCAGGTCGAAATAGATCAAGGGAAGTGAGGCCATGCATGACGATGGAAACGACCTCTCTTATACCCCGGCCGGAGCTCGCCGCGCTGCCAACTCGATCTGAAGGCGTTGCAATAGCGGGTTCCCGTGCGGGGAGAAGAAGCCTATAATACGGGACATATACTTCCTTTGTTGCTGGAATAGGTACCAATCGGCAGTGATGTCACTGTTGTTGCATGGTAACCGGGTGAACAGGTACTTGGACAGTACCTTGTCAATCAAGGTCGGTGAAGGTTTATGTTATTGTTTAATGCGTAACCAAGCCATCTTCGGCTTGTAAGAATGCGGGGAGAGCTCTCTTTCTTCGGCATCTCGTGCTCTCCTTCATTCTGGATTGTCTCCCACTCTCTCGCTGTTCCATAATATCCAGATCGCAATGAGTTCTCAAGCTATTCGATGTCGTTGATGGTAAAAAAGACGAGGTGATGGCAAGGCCAATTGGAAGGCTATTATTAGTCAGCTATATTAACCTCATTTGATTGGCCACTAATAGCCTTTTTTTATTGGTTGATATATATCCTTGGCAGAGCTGAGCACGGACCATTATTCTCAATGACTAAGCCACAGCCTCGGCTGAGTAGAAAGTTTATCGATAACGGCAAGAAAGCAACAACATCAGCTCCAAGCAGAAGTTTCGAGCTGCAAAGAAAACGAGAGCTCGCTAGCGACTCGCTGTACACTCATTTTCACTCTACCTACTCTCCTATAATGGTTCAATCACTTCGTTTCGCACATACAGTTCGAGTACGAGCTTCACCTTTTACCAGGGAAAGCTTTAGGCCATTCGGGACAGCAGTCGAAACACCTCTGCCAGATACACTGAACACTCCACCAAATTCCATCACCAGCTTCAAGACTCCTGATTGTGCCGCTGAATCAGCTAACCAAGGCTCTGCTGTGAAATGGAGCCCGATATCACCAATAACTGAATCATATGGAAAAAGCTCAAAGAAAGGGGAGGCTCGCATGAGCATGTTCTCATGCTTCCCCCGGGAATTGCGCACTCCTCTATCCCTATCTGTTCCCTCCTCATCGAAAGGATTTTCCGGACTATGGAATCAGAATCTATCAGGACTATTTGACGTAAAGTTTCTCGAAAGACATCCGTACACCTCACAGTCATTCATTCCCATATCACGGAGTCACAATCAGGATCATGCCATAAGACGAGACACTGTGACTGAAGACGTCTTCTATTTGGTCATTGTTGCTCCATCACTAGTAGGCCAGGTGGATTCAGCAACATCGATACACGATCCTCCAGATCTCAACAATGTACAAGCATTCATTGCTAGGCCAGGTCAGGCAGTGACTTATGCGGCCGGAACATGGCATGCTCCGATGGTGGTTATAGGGAGACAGAGGATAGATTTTGTTGTTGTTCAATATGTAAATGGGATCGATCGCGACGATTGTGAACTTGTTGGTTTGGAAGACGGTGTCGTTGTGGAGGTTGATGCCCGCTCGTCAAAGGTTGTGGCTAAGTTGTAGTGCCAGAGATTGCTGGCTGACAACTACTCTTCTACTTCACTATTATAAGCCTAAGACTGACGAAATTATTGGTTAATACATCTTTAGATAACATTATCTCTTTTACGCACTGATAACCATGTAAAGTAGGAAAATCGTAATATTTGGTCAACTATCGGGTATCAAAGATCTATGAAATATCGGTCTGGGTGCAGGCAGGGACCTAACTAAACGAGATAACGGAAGATATATGAAATGGTGGGTATAGCCAACGCGCTATCAAGAGGCTGAATGGGCCGGCTTGCGACAATCTTCTTCTACTTGATGGCCAAGTTCTGCTCCCATGGCTGGCATTTTTTTAATCACGTCTTCGGCTACATCGATCACACTTTGAGGTAGGCCAGCAAGGTGAGCAACCTTGAGTGCATGAGATTGTCGATTAACTCCAGGCCTTAACTTATGGACGAATGAGAAAGCACCGGATGAATCCTCTTTCAGGTCGGTACAATATCTGCCAACGTGCTCGAAGTCTGCCGTCATATCCGCCAAGGCGTGGAAATGTGTCGCAAACAAAGTGCGGGCTTTATTTTCATTATGAAGATGGTGCAGACAGGCAAAACCTACTGCGGTTCCGTCTTCGGGGGTAGTTCCTCGGCCAACTTCATCCATTATCACAAACGAGCGAGGAGTGGCATGTTTTAGGATGGATGCGGTCTCCAGCATTTCAACCATAAAGGTTGATTGGTCGCGAAAGAGATCGTCGGCTGCTCCAATGCGGCTGAATATCTTATCCACAAGCCCTATCTCTGCGTACTCAGCTGGAACATAGGAGCCCACTTGAGCAAGGATAGTTATTAGAGCGTTTTGCCGAAGAAATGTACTCTTGCCAGCCATGTTGGGCCCAGTGATAAGTAGAATTCGCTCCTTGCCCCCTACAAAGCAGTCGTTGCTGACGAAGGGGCGACCTTGTTCTTCGACTCCAAGTTTAACGGTAGGGTGCCTACCGCCGAAGATTTTGTGGCTTAAACCATTGTTAACAATCGGCCTAACCATTCCTTGTTCTTTAGCCAAAGCTGCAAAAGAGCAAGCTACGTCAAGTTCGTCCAAAACACTTGCATTGCGACGAAGTTTGACTAGGTTCAAAATCACCGTATGCCGTAGCCTCTTGAATATGTGTTGTTCCTCAACTCTGATTTGTTGCTTCATGCTTTCTAATTTGGCACCTAGTTGGGTCCAAGATGGTAAATAAAATGAGCGGGTAGATTTCGAGGAGGAGACGGTACGTGTTACCCCTAGATCTTCTAGTGATTTTTTCATTGCTTTGGTCCCTTTCATGTGGACGATATGGCCAAGACCAGGTGTCCACTTTAGGCTGAGCTGTGCAGTGTCTAGCGTCTGCTGTAGCCTTTTCGTTAGCTTAGCTTTCTCAGAGTAAAGGTTCTCAAGAGCATCATGTAGATTTCTTAGTGACTTGCTGGCATCGGGTCGCATAATCCAGGCGGTGTCACTAGGGGAGTCAGGTCCACTCGGCCCCTTTGGTCCATCCCCTTTTGAATCCTTCACTTTTTTGGGCATTGCATTAAGGTCTGCATCTGACCCTTCACTTAACAACACGTCATGGGCGAGGGCCGAATCGCCAGCGGCTGCATCCTCTTCCACACGTTGCTTCTGTAGAAGCATTTCTTCATCAATTGAATCTTGTATGGATCGTGACAATTCTCCTGGACCATGCAAGTTAAAACGGTGTAATAAAGGTCGAATGCTTTTAGAGCTACTGATATCGCCTTCAGCGGCGGCTTTGGATTCCACGGCTGTGAGTTTTTGTTCCAATATTGACTTTATATCCCCCGAAGCATCAATAGCTCGTGAAAGACATATAAGATCGTCTGGTAATCCTCTCCCAAGTGAGAATTTCTGCACTAGGCGTTGGGTATCATAGCTGCGTTTCAATAACCTCATAATATTTTCCCGTAAATCTTCGTCTTCCAATAGAAGAGAAACTAGATCCAGACGCTCATTTATGACCCCTAAAGAGGCTGATGGTGCGGCTATACAGATGTCTGATTAGAAATGATATAGATGGGGCAGTAAGTGGACCACTTACTCAGTCGTTCTCTTAGCAGCCGGGCACCGCTGCTTGTTGAAGTTCGCCGCACTGCATGCAGCAGGCTTCCCTTACCAAATCCATCTCTTGCTGTTTCCAAGATTTCAAGCCCCCTTAGACAATTACGGTCGATAGACATCGAGTCCTCAGCGACTTTTCGGCGAGGTGGCTGAAGCCTCACATCCGTTTCTTTTATTTGTTTCCTGACATATTCAAGGACCATCTGGCAGGCAGATACCTCCTGAGGGGTAAACATAGAAGCAACCTCTGATGATATTGGAGAATCAAAGCTAGGGTTCCACTCTGATAGTGGTTGGATATTCTTGGGACTTTGAAAGTACGTAATGGGTTGGTGCTCCTGGACAACCAATGACTCCAGTTCCGATCGTAGGGGTTCCCCTATACCTTGATCCACTAGTATTTCACGGGCTCCTATTCGTGTGATCGCAGAAGCAAGCATCTGAGGGCTAGTAACCTGGGTCAGAAAATCTCCAGTTGACAAGTCCAGCCACGATAGGCCAATTATGTCGGAGTCGGGAAGGTAATTGAGCTGTCCTCGGGTTACTTGATCATCTGTACCGGATTGCAAAGAATTGAGGCTGGGATCGACATGTATAGAGAGAAGATAGTTGTTTTGATATTGGTCAATAAACTTTTCGTCAATCAACGTGCCAGGTGTGACTATACGCGCAACCTTGCGGTCGAACATCAATCCACCAGCTTTGGCCTTGGCGGCGGCGTCATTGGCGAACTCTTCGCTAATGGCCACATTTTTCTTCATTTCCTGAACCAAAGTCTTGAGAAAACGGTCTAATTGAAAATAGGGAAAGCCAGCCATAGGAACAGGCCCAACAGCCGTTTTTTTGTACGCCAATTTTAAATTTAACAAGCTGGCATATTCCTCAGCTTGATGGAAATAGAGCTATTAAGCTAGTTAGTCGTCGAGGCAAAACTGTGCCGCGTATGTTGTGCTAAAGCCCAAGAGGATCCTACCTCATAAAAATTCCCAACTCTTGTGAGAAGAACACAGTTGGGAAACTTTTGCATGTTATATTTAGCTCCCTGGACAACAGCAGGATATTGTGGAACGTCATCGGTAAATGGGGCCAATGGTTTCTTGGATTCCAGGGGACCTTGAGCAAGATCTGACAGTCTTGCCGCCGACTTCGTTTTGGCACCACGCCATGATATAATTGGATATGGGACCTTAAACTGTAACAAGCCAGGTCTTTGGGTATAAACTAGGCTTCTAGGGTATAAATACGGCCTTGCTATACGTCCACGAACGCTTAGAAGTCTCATCGTATGTTTGCAGCATGGAGTTGTCAGTCCTTCTCCTGCCGACTTTTTGATATCGCGAATTTCCCCTTTCTGGCGCCCGGGCGTTTAGCTATCACATGACCATAAACGCTAGTCTGTTTTTGGGAAGCTTCTCGCGCTTACGTAATATTAGAGCTTTTGACGCGGTTCGACCAGAAATTTGCAAGCTTCTGGATAGCAAGATATCAACTTTCACAGTTCTCGAACTCCGTCCCTTTCGTTTTCGCGGGGTTTATTCTATCAACGGATGGATCGCAGCTATAAGTTTTTGTTTTTAGGTTGATGCGGTCAGGGTATCTATTTGCCCTCTTAAACGAGTGAACACGGAGCTTCAAACGGGAGTGTTGACCACCGAGTTACCCTCAAGATGGCGGACCCTAATAATGTCGCGCAGTACAAGTACTCGGCGATGTCCAACCTGGTTCTCCAGGCGGATCGCCGGTTTGTTACTCGCCGTGCTGATGAGGTTACGGGTGATCCAGAGTCCCTGGCGGGCCGCCTCAGTATCAAGGATATGGGTGTCCACGCGATGCGTCCAGAAGTCAAGCAGAAGAAAGCATCTGCCCCAAAAGACATTGAGCGTGGAGGTATAAGAGAAGGTGCCGACGTCTTGAAGCGGGAACAGCGCAAGAGGAAACGAGGAGAGCAGGCACAACTTCGTGGTGTTGGAATATTGTCAGCGGCGGATGCCCTCATCGAAGGCCTTAAATACCGACCGCGAACGGCTGCAACCAGAGCTACATATGATTTGATATTGACGACAACGGCGAGCCACCTGGGTGATGTGCCGCACGATGTCATTCGAAGCGCTGCGGATGCAATCCTCGAACTTTTGAAGGATGAGAACATGAAGGATTTTGATAAGAAAAAAGAAGTGGACGATCTTCTGGGTGTTACTATGGGCCCGAAAGAATTCAACGAACTGGTAAATCTTGGGAAGAAAATTACAGACTACGACGCTCAAGACGACGATGAAACAAATGGCGCTGGCGCAGAAGGCGAGGATGGTGCCGAGCTAGATGAACGTCAGGGTGTGGCTGTCGTATTCGATGAATCTGATGAAGATGAAGATGAAATGCGGCCCGATGCAGAAGTTAAAGATGAAGGAGAGAGTAGTGAGGACGAGGATATGTCCGATGAGGGACCAGCCGACGAAGGTGAAGCTGCCCAGAATATACCCGAAGACGTCATGGGCATGGGGGATGAGGATATGATCATTGACGCAGGAGCTGGAGTCGCCGCTGGAAAATCTGACGCCGACACTAAAATTGTGCCCGCACGCGAGATCGATGCATACTGGCTACAACGACAGATTGGAAATATTTACTCAGACGCCCATGTACAACATGAGAAAGCTCAGGAAGCTTTTACTCTAATGAGCGAGCAGTCAGAGGATGGTACCCCAAAGCCGTTGAGAGACGTCGAAAATGATCTGATGGAACTGTTTGACTATGACCATCCAGAGCTTGTTGGAACCTTGGTCCTTAACCGTGATAGGATTGTTTGGACGACAAGGTGGCGAAGGGAAGCCGAAGATAGTGATGCCAGGCGTCTCATTGAAAACCAAATGATAGAAAGTGGGCAGCGACTCCTCCTC